GGGCTGGGCGGCTGGCACCGTTGGCACCCAGCGCGGCTGTCTGAATGGGAACTAATTGGATCTGGCTGGCAAACAGCCGCCTCGCCCGGCCCTTTGGACAGCTCCAGGCATCTATTTTTATTTTTATTTTTTATTTTTTGGGAAGGGAGCCACTTTACGGCCGGGTGCCCAGGCCGGTGGGACGGCGAAGCATTCCAGAGATGTGCCAGGAGGCCCCCTTGGCGCGTGTCTGCGTGGCGTGGCGAGGGCCTTCCGGGGCTCGTGCATGCAGGCGCGCCGGCTTCCCCCAAGCGGGACGGGTTCCATGCTCAGATGGAGCCAGGGAAGCCGAGAGAGCCTAAATCCAATCATTACAGCTCAATTTCGGATCAGCGGGAACCTTAGGACGGAATCGCACTGGCAGCGGCTGAGGCGGGGTGTGTGTGTGGAGGCGGGGGGGGAGAGAGTGTTTGTAAGGCAAAATTAGCAGAGGAGCCCTTTCTGTGCGTTCTATGCTCCGGGGAATTCAGAGAAGCATGCCAATTCTGGAGAGAGAGGGTTCCCTGCGAGGTCATCTAGTCCAACCCCCTCTCTTCGGCTGGCTGGCCAGCTTGCTTGCTTGCTTATTCATTCATTCATTCATTCATTCACTTATTTACTTATTTACTTATTCATTTATTTATTCTTTTTTTTTTTCATCCAGCGTCACAGAATACAGCCCTTTCTGTGCGTTCTATGCCCCTGGGAATTCAGAGAAGCATGCCAATTCTGGAGAGGGAGGGTTCCCTGCGAGGTCATCTAGTCCAACCCCCTCTCTTCGGCTGGCTGGCCAGCTTGCTTCCTTATTCATTCATTCATTCATTCATTCATTTACTTATTTACTTATTTACTTATTCATTTATTTATTCATTTTTTTTCATCCAGCGTCACAGAATACAGCCCTTTCTGTGCGTTATATGCCCCTGGGAATTCAGAGAAGCATGCCAATTCTGGAGAGGGAGGGTTCCCCGCGAGGTCATCTAGTACAACCCCCTCTCTTCAGCTGCCTGACTGGCTGGCTGGCTGGCTGGCTGGCTCATTCATTCATTCATTCATTCATTCATTCATTCATTCATTCACTTATTCATTTCCTTATTTCCTTATTCATTTATTTATTCATTTTTATTTTTATTTTTCAATCCGGCGTCACAGAATACAGCATTAGGGCCTAGGTCCTAGGATTCACAAAAGCAGCACATCAAATGGGTGTCAGGATACAGGGAGTCCCCGACATACGACCGCAATCGGGTCCAAAGTTTCCGTTGCTAAGCGAGACGTTTGCGAAGTGAGCCTTGCCTCGGTTTACGACCTCTCTTGCCTCCGTGGTTAAGCGAATCGCTACAGCCGTTAAGTGAGACCCGTGGTCGTTAAGCGAATCTGGCTTCCCCCCTCATTGACTCTGCTGGACAAAAGGTCGCAAAAGGGGGTCAGGTGACCCCCCCCCGTGGGATGCTGCGACCGTCGTAAGTATGTGCCGGTTGCCGAGCGGCCGAATTTTGATCACGTGACCCCCAAGGGGAAGGTGCAAGGGTTGTAAGTGTGAAAAACGGTCATAAGTCACTTGTTTCAGTGCCGTTGTACTTTTGGTCACTAAATGAACTGTTGTAAGTCGAGGACTACCTGTACACCCCCCACTCCCCCCTGGAGTCCCTCAGTGAGGGGTAATTTCCAAATGAATAAATAAATACATAAATTCTTCCTTTCTCCCTCCCTCCCTCCCTCTCTTATTCTGACCTTCCTTCTTTCCTTCGTTCCTTCTTTCCTTCCTTCCTTCCTTCCTTCCTTCTTCTCTCTCTCTTTCAATCTTCCTTCCTTCCTTCTCCAACCTTCCTTCTTTCCTTTCTTCTTTCCTTCCTTTCTGTCTATCTATCTATCCCTTTCTCTGTCTTTTCTTCCTTCCTTCCTTCTTCTCTCCCTCCTTCAACCTTCCTTCCTTCTTTCCTTCCTTCCTTCCTTCTTTCCTTCCTTCCTGTTTATCTCTTTCTCTGTCTTTTCTTCCTTCTTTCCTTCTTCTCTCCCTCCTTCAACCTTCCTTCTTTCCTTTCTTCCTTTCTGTCTATCTATCTCTTCCTCTCTTTTCTTCCTTCCTAGCCTTCTTCTCTCCCTCTTTCAATCTTCCTTCCTTTTCTTCTCCCTCCTTCAACCTTCCTTCCTTCTTCTCTCCCTCCTTCAACCTTCCTTCCTTCCTTCCTTTCTGTTTATCCTTTTCTCTGTCTTTTCTTCCTTCTTTCCTTCTTCTCTCCCTCCTTCAACCTTCCTTCTTTCCTTTCTTCCTTTCTGTCTATCTCTTCCTCTCTTTTCTTCCTTCCTAGCCTTCTTCTCTCCCTCTTTCAATCTTCCTTCCTTTTCTTCTCCCTCCTTCAACCTTCCTTCCTTCCTTCTTCTCTCCCTCCTTCAACCTTCCTTCCTTCCTTCCTTCCTTTCTGTTTATCCTTTTCTCTGTCTTTTCTTCCTTCTTTCCTTCTTCTCTCCCTCCTTCAACCTTCCTTCCTTCCTTTTATTTCCCCTTCCCCTCTTTCTTCCTTCCTTCCTTCCTTCCTTCCTTCCTTCCTTCCTTCCTTCCTTCCTTCCTTCCTTCCTTCCTTCCTTCCTTCCTTCCTCCATTCATTCATTCATTCATTCATTCATTCATTCATCCTTTTATTCTGGATTGGATTTTCTCTCCTCTGTCTCAGGGATGTTGGCCAAGACCAGCCCAGGCAATGAGACATTTTCAAGGTTTCCGTTTGCGGGACTGGAATCCTTTCAAAGCATCCCCCGCGGTCTTTTCCTCTGCCCTTATTTTATTTCTGCCATTTATTCTTCCCCCTGTTTGCAAACATCTGGCTCCTTCTCCCTGTTGTTTGTGGCCGGCTACTGTCTGAGGCTCGAACAATACCGCACGACGATAAAGTGTGTGCTTGCACAAATTGTGTTCCCTTTGAGGAACATAATGGAGGTTGCCATCAATTGCGGTGATTTCTCTGCTCCGAGCCGAGCTTCTCTCTCTAACAATGGGATTCTGCACAGTACAAGATAGATAAAAATCTTCTTTTACGCTACATGCAGCTCAACGGAGCTATTGATCTGCGCCCGGCGGGAGAACTTTCCCTGGCTGGAGAAAAAAAGGATTTGTGACCTCAGGATCACACTTTCCTCACCAAGGGCAGACTGGTGGGAACGGTGGATTGTTGGTTTTTAATGCCCCGGCTTGTCTTCCACCCGTGGGGGGGGGAAGGGGGGAAGGGGGTCCTTATCATTAAATGTCTGTTTGGGAACAGGGGCAGAAAGGAAAGGAGGGTTCTCTTTAAGGGGAAATTTAAATTGTACATTTTGTATACTGTTTTTATGTTTTAATCGTCTTTTACACGTACATCGTGCAGAGTCTCTCTCTCGAAGTAGAAGGGCAGTTTTTAAAAATTAGATGATAGCTAGCTAGATGGATGGATGGATGGATGGATGGATGGATGGATGGAT